TCTGCATGGAAAACTCAGACCTCTGTCTTCTCCCTTTCCCTGAGTGGGCTCTGGGAGGGAAGCTCCTTCTGGACTCACACCTAACACCTCGAGAAGACAGAGTGTGTGGAATAGGGTGAGTTGCCCTTGACAAAGACTGGCACGATTGCATGGGTTTCCAGGATGGAAAGCTGGAGTCATAGAGTCTCTAGACTCTAATATATGACCTGGTAGGACAGCCGGGAAGACTCGAGGAACCAGCTAGTTCAGTGGCTTCATTTAATGGAGGAAAATTTCTGTCCCGGCGAGGCTAAGACACCAGCTCAAGGACATGGGCTGCCAAGTCAAGTCAAGGGACTGGACTCCCTTGGTTCCCAGGGGTCTTTGGTTCTGCATCAAACTCTTGTGGGGCGTGGGAGACTTGGTAGATGGCAGAGGTCTCTCCCAGGATGCTGGGATCTGGGACTATGGGTGGGGTAAGGGTTTGAGCACAAACTCCAACTTACACTCTCACTTACATTAGTATTTACTGACCACTTAGCACCTTTTAAAAATGTGATCATTGTGCATTTATCCTTGTACCGGGGCTTTTTCATCTAATTGGAGGGCACTGATAATGGTCTAGCGATAAGGAAAATAGGAGTTGGTTTGTGCAGCCAGAGGCAATATTTTATACATACATAAGCATTTGTATAATTTCATTGTGTTTTGGGGAATATTGCTAGCTTAGCGTTTATCAGACTGTAGTACTATCTTTACTTTTCAGTAGGTGGTTAGTTCCTGGCTGGCAAAAAAATTTAAAGAATTATTATGGAATTATTATGATCTTAACTGAATTTTTTTAAGGCTTTTTTTTTTTTTTGGCATTACTAGGGTTTGAACTCAGTACCTTGTTAGGCAGGTACTGTACCACAGAGCCATGATCCCCAGCCCTTTTTTGCTTTAGTTTCTTTGAGATAGGGTCTTGCTTCATGCCTGGGCTGGCCTGGACCTCGACCTCAGTCATCCTGTTTGTGCTTCCCTGTGTAGCTGGGATGGCAGGAGCACACCACCACATGCAGCTTTTATTTGTTGAGATGGGGTCTTGTGAACTTTTTTGCCCAGGGTGGCTTCAAACTGTGATCCTCCTGATCTCTGCCTCACCAGTAGCTAGGATTACAGGTGTGAGCCACCAAGCCTGCCTTTAAAGCAGTATTTGTTTGTTTTATTTTTTGATTAATATGTTAACTTGTAGGGTCTTGCTTAGAGTAGGTGGTCATTCATTTTGTTGGGTGAATGGGTAATGCTTGGATAGCTCCTCTTTTTGTTGAGGATTTGAGAAATTTCACATAAAGCTTCTAATAGGTAGAGTAAGGTACAACACTGCTTGAACAGTGATTTCTCTGGGAATGGGCTTGCTTAAGTTACAGTCTGTTAGGAAAAAAAAGACAAAGCAGTGATAAATGATCAAGTTTGTAAATCTTGGAGAAAGAGCGAGACTGCTGGGTATGATGAAAGGCCTCTAGGCTTAGCTTCTGTTTCCCTCCCCACCCGTAGGACCGGCGCTTAGGGGCAGCGGGCAGCCCTGGTAACTGTTTGCTCTGATCCTTGGGCCCGTCTTTGTCCTGTCCATGAGGAGATGATCTCCTTCCTCTTCTCCTTCCTCCCCTTTCAGGACACTGAATGCTTTAGTTTTTTTAATTTCTTTGCTGTCAAAACGAAAGAATTTGATGTTAGTTGTTTTCACTTATTGAATAAAAGACAGATTGACTGATTTTCATTTAATTCTTCATGAGTTTTATTCTACTTATTGACCCATACATAATTTGCCCGCCTTGTTAGAGGAAATTTACATATAGGTAGAGTCATTTGTTCATTCATTCATTCATTTGGAGATCATTGTGCTCTGAAATAATAAAATAATATATCCATTTTTTCCCTACCCAAATAAGACTGGACTGCTTCTCCCCTTCACCAAGACAAGAGGGGTCCTTGCTTGGCTGAGGCTCTGGAGGCCGTTTCTTGGGAATTATCAGGCGTTGCTAGCATGGAGAAGACACTGTCCAGTGTTTGAACTTGAAGTTCAGGAGGCCTCTCCTCCCTCAGATTTCTTTATATGGTCTCTACAGGCCTTGCCTCTGCTATTTCTCTGTCCTTTTCACTGTCCCCAACCTGACGGTTCCCATTTCTACTCTTGTTTTTTTTTGGTGGTTACTGGGGTTTGAACTCAGGGCCTCACGTTTGCTAGGCAGGTGCTCTACCACTTGAGCCACTCTGACAACCCATTTTTCCTCTTCTACCTTAAACCCAACTCTTTTCCTACCTTTCTTTCAAATCCATATTTTGAACTCCAGCACGTTTGACACGTTTCAGTCATCAGTTTTGTTATTATTATTATTTGGTGTACTCGCGGTTGAACTTAGGGCCTGACACTTGCTAGGTGGCATTCCATGTGAACCACTCAGCACCCTTGATATTTCCCTCATACTGCTGTCAGGATTATAAACATGCTTCTGTTTTCTCTGCCTCTGGTGAAGAAGATTCTCAGAAGCATTATTGGAAGGTACCTTTGTGGCATTTTCTTATATTCAGGGTAGTGGGTTAAAATTGCTTGTTTTTGTGGGGTGCTGGCCAATGAAGTACTGTGACAGTTCCATTGCAGCTATCTTTGGCTAGCAACCTTTTTTAAGTTTTAAATTTAATTTTGAATTGTTTTACCTTAATAATGGGAGAGGATTTCATTATGACAGTCCCATATTTTTTTTTGAGGGGCAACAAAGGAGAGTGGGAACAAACTCCTAAATCCTCTCTTGTGTTTCATTCATCTCTTCTTTTCAGGCCCCACACTGGTTTTGCAGAAATATCACACCTTTGAACAAAAGGGGAAAGGAATTACTAGGAGCTAATCTCACTGTTAGGAAGTATGTGAGCCCTCAAGGGAAAAGATATTGTCTTCATATATTTCATCTGGACCTTTCTTGGTACTTGGCAGCTCCTTCAGCATTTGTTATTTTTGTTTTCTTATTTTGATCAAGATTGTTCATTCGTGTATCACATCAACTAGTTCCGTAGTCCTTAGTCACAAATGTTTTTTTTTGGTGGTACTGGGGTTTGAACTCAGTGCTTTGTGCTTGCTAAGCAGGCGCTCTACCACACCTCCAGCCCTTTTGCTCTTCTCTGGAGATAGGGTCTTGCTCTTTGCCCAGGCCGGCCTGGACTGCCATCCTTCTGTTTTACACCTTCTACTGTTGCTGGTGTGTGTTACCAAACCCAGTTTTTTTCTGTTGAGATGGGGTCTTTTTGCCTGGACTGGCCCCAAACTATGATCCTCCTGATCTCAGCCTCCCAAGTAGCTAGGATTATAGGTGTGAGCCATGGCTTCCAGCTCACTCAGGTGTTTTTAAGTGGGTTCTTGTTAACTCATCATTAAGTTACAGATGTAGCTCAATTTTAGGTTTATGTGTATTTTGTTTGTATTTATAGCACAGTATCACACTAGGGACATTGGAGATAAATTCAGAACTTTTATTTGAAGTCATTGCAAGTTTCCTTTTTTGGCCACTCTTATGTTATTGTTCTCATAAAACCTGTGTACAAAAACAGCTAATTTTGCTGCTACCTAGAATATAAATTCTAGAATATTGCCAAATTGCTTAATAGATATAACACGCAAGTTCACCACTCCTTACTTACCTAAGTCATGGGACTGTTCACAGGCTTGCTGAAGTATGATGACATATTTCTCATAGTGTAATTTACGTGGCAGAAAAATTTCAACATTTCCCACAAAACAAGGGTATTGCTGGGGTGGATTTGTGTGACTGGGTTGGTATTTCATAAATTTGTGCTCTAGACTGAATTGAATTTAGAGCATCAGTGGAATGAAGACTCGTTTCTGGAAGTGTTGTGATATGTGTAGGACCTTCTAAGTATATATCAGAGAGGCTGATGTTTGCAGTTGCTTGGGGAGACTCTGTCTACACTCAACACACTTTACAACATGTCCAAAGGGTGACTGGGATGGTGAGAGCTGAGGGCTTTGGGGGAAGTTACTGTCCCCCGCGGGGCGTCTTGTGTAAGGCTTTCATTGCTGGCCCAAGGAGCGGTTCTTCAGGGAGAGAGAATTTCAGTAGCACAGGTGAAAGGAAGGTATCCAGACTTCTGTTTCGAAAGTGGAAAAAAACGGAAGGGCTCTATCAGAATAGGAGCTTATTTGATATATAAGAATTAAAGTAATACTTATTTCTTGCCCTCTTGTGTTTGAGAAGTTTCATTCCTGAGTGACTAGAAGAAGCAAAATGATTTTTAGAGTTGGAAGATTGGTTTTAGATGCTCTGAGTTCCAGGTGAAGGAAGGCCTGGCCGTGGTGGGTCCAGCAGCTAGCTGAAGGTAAAGACTGGTGCTGGATCTCCAGGCAGGAACCGTCTCTTTTCTGTGGAGTTCATGACCGTGGCTGAGAGAGATCTGTAGATTGATGACTGCGTCCTGGAGCTGTAAGGGGGCTGAGAGGAGCCAGTGTATCTTTTAATAGAATGAACACTGAAAAGAGACCACTGGACTTAACGTAATGACAATTGACAGACTTTGAATTAGAACCGAGAGTACACAAACTTTGTGATGAAGTAGGTGGGAATGATGTAAGAGCAGGATGTAGCAGACGATACCATTCATGGATGGTGTGTTGGTTTTTCCTTGCTCACTTTTTAGTCCTTTCACTTAAATGGCATGACAAAAAATTAGTAGGAAGTAGAACTCAAAATTATCTGTTAAGAGACCTTTTTTTTTTTTGGTGGGACTGGGGATTGAACTCAGGGCCTTGTGCCACTCTGCCAGCCCTATGAGTCTGGTTAGAATAACTGATGGCCTGAGTAATGTTAAATCCTTGGCTACTTGGATTACCATGCATTCAAATTAGCTACCTAATGACCCCGATTCTTAAAAATAGTTGCAATTTGGTTGCAGATTTGATGAAGTTAAAAATAAGCATTGACGTTACTGAAAACTGTACTTCTACTAAATGCTGTGTTTTTTGTATCTCTCAGTTTCTATGCAGATTTTGGACCTCTGAACTTGGCAATGGTGTACAGATACTGCTGTAAGCTAAACAAGAAACTAAAAGTGAGTATTGCGATGCCGTTTGCATTTTGGTGTTGTGTTTGAACCAGGAAACCTGCCCAGTGGAATTTGGTCAGGTAATTTTCGGTCAGGTTCTTTGGAAGTGGATGCGAGGAGTTCACCTAGATGTTGAAAATTGATCTGCACAGAGGACGTGCTGACCTCTTTCACTCTTCAGATGGACTGCAATATGACCTGAAGGAAGTCACTGGCGCAGCAGTCTTTTTGATTGTTGTTATGAGTCCCTATCCCATTCCCTCGTGGGATATGTTTTCTGACCCCTCCCATCTGTTCGTAGACAGTTTCCAGGTGATGAAAGGACTCATCCTGGCTGCAGCGTGGAGCAGAATGGTTTCTGGCAGGTCAAGATTGAAATCGTCACCTCTGTTGCGTTATAACCACGTGAGATTGATGAACTAACAATGACAGCATGAACTCTGTTTACCTGCCATTGTGGAATTCGGGTCAGAGGATCTGGTTCCATTTCCTGTATTTACGTGGGGGTTGGCTATGTAGCTTTTTTCTGCTTAAACTCTGGGCAAATGAAGAAAAGTGACATTTATGTTCCTAGGTTTATTAAACTTATCACATACAAAGCAACATTTGTCTATCTTTTTTTCTTCTAAATGACCATCTTAAAGATTCTCTTAAAGCTATTCTCTTAGCATAACTGCAAAATTAGGACGCTCAGCTCTTTTATTCTTTCCTGTTGGTCAAGTGTTGCTGCTGCAGGGAACAGTGACCTGTGCAATCAGAGATTGTCCTTTTCGTCTTTTTATTTTATTTTTCATTTTTTTTCTTGTGGTACTGGGGTTTGAACTCAAGGTTTCATTCTTGCTAAGCAGGTGCTCTACCTTGAGCCACAACTCCAGCCCTTGAGTTGTTTTTTTGTTAAACTTAGGTAGAAAAGGCAGCCAGATGGTGAATTTCCTATGGAATACATTGTGTGTTTATGAATTTACAGATTTTTACCACTGACCTCAAAGTGTCAGATTATCATGTAATGACACCAGAGTGATTTTCTTTTTCTTTCTTTTTGGCAGTGCTGGGGCTTGAACTCAGAGCCTTGCACTTGCTAGGCAGGCACTCTACCACGTGAGCCAGGCCTCCAGCCCTTTTTGGCTTTGGTTATTTTTCAAATGGGGTTTCGTGTTTCTGTCTCAGCTGGGCTGGCATCGGTCCTCCTGTTACACTTCCTGTATTGCTGAGATGGCAGGTGTGTGTCACCGTGCCCAGCTTTTATTGGCTAAGATGGGTCTTGAGAACTTTTTGCCCAGGCTGGCCTCAACCTGTGATCCTCTTGATCTCTGCCTCCTGAGTACCAAAGATCATAGGCTTGAGCCATGGCACCCAGCCTCCAGAGAGACCTTTTAAAAAATTAGGTGACATAAGTCCACTACAATCAACTGTCCCAGGAATTAACACATAAAGTATTGTCTGACTTGAAAATGTACTTGTAAACTCCTTTAACTAAACCAGACCCATGTATTTTAGGGACAAAGCTACTGTCAGTAGTGTAGAAAGTAAAACAGAGCTTTTCATAGTCACCAGAGAAGTAAATAATGTCCTTTTTCCATAAAGTGAACTTTTTTTTTTTTTTTGTGGTACTGGGGGTTGAACTCAAGGCTTTGCACTTGCTAGGCAGATACTTTAATTGAGCCATTCTCCTGGCTCTAAAATGAACTTTTAATGACTTAATTAACAAGGGGAAGACATTAAATAATGTCTCCTTCCCTCCCTCCCTCCTTCCCTCCCTCCCTCCTTTCTTTGTCATTTTAGCATGTAGTTGTGTGGACTGGGTGTTGTAATCTGGAACCTATGTACTATTTAGAGTTTCCAAAAAGAAAGAAACCATTATTATGCACAGGAGTCCATGACTGAATTAAGACTCTTTTGTGCCATGTTCTGTGTTGAATAGTCTGAGTGTATACGAGGATTGCTTTGACTTGCTTTCATATAAAGCTTTCTTGCAGTTTCACAAAGTTCAGCCAGTCCCTCAGTTCGTTTCAGTGGTCACCCGGTCAGTTGGATGCCTGGAATGACATTTTGAGCTTTAGCACAATTACTGAGTTCTCTGTGACTTTCTGAAGGGTTGACTTTTCAAAACCAGACGTTAACGAGCCTTGGGTTATCTCAGCGAGCCATGCCAAGTAGAATCTCTGTATTAAGGAAAAAGATTTACTTCAATGATCTGAAGTTGGAATTGCTTCAGTCTTGTGGACTCTCAGTGTTTTTGTTTTTTAAAATTTTTTGGCAATACTGATGCTTGAACCCAGGGCCTCATGCTTGCTAGGTAGGTGCTCTACCACTTGAGCCACTCTGCCAGGCCCAATCTGGCCTGGACTGTGATGCTTCTGTTTGTGCTTTCCTACATAGCTGGGATGACAGGAATGTCACCACATCCAGGAGTTGGTTGAGATGGGGTCTCGTGAACGTTTTGCCCAAGCTGCCTCAGAACCATGATCCTCCTGATCTCAGCCTCCTGTTTTATCAGGGATTACGGCTGTAAGCCACTACACCCTGCTAGAGTCTCAACAGGAGTTAGAGTGCTCACAGGATTGTGGTCAGGATTGAATTGGAAAATACCCATGTAAGAGCTTTGTAAATGTTAAGGTGAAGGTCATATGCCAAAAAAAGCTGCTAATGTAACTTTTGTGAGTTATATTTTCTGGTAGAAAATCCCATGTAGGCAATTCTTCCATGAAGTGAGCACCCTCTTCTCAACCTTAAAGTTGTCATGTCCCTCTGGGGAAAATGGCCAGTATAGTTTTAGGAATTGAAAGGACTGTTTGGCCAATTCTCAGAAATTAAGGCCTGGGGGAGGCCCAGGACTTGCCCACAGTTGCAAGGTGAAGTCAGAGCTAGAAGATCTCTCTCTTTCTCTCTCTTAGTGGAACTGGAGACTGCACTCTGGGCCTCACACATGCTAGACAAATGCTCTTCCAGTTGAGCTATGTCCCCAGTCCTTTTATTTTATTTTATCCTTTAGATTGGGTCTTGCTAAGTAGGTGGTCCTTGAATTCATGATCCCCTGCTTCCTAAGAAGCTGGGATTACAGGCATGCACCCCCCCCCCCCACCAACCCAGCTTCTTGTCTCTCAATACAGTTGACGTTCATCTCTCTGCCTCTGGTAAACCACAGCCTCTGCTTTACTGTCTTCCCTTACTCATTGTTCTGCTTCACCTTCTTGTCTGCGTCAGGCTCCTCTGCCTCTTCCTCTCTGGTGACTTTCTGCCACTCTGGCTGCTTCACTTCCGGGAACCCAGACTCCAGGCTGTACTGTGTGGACTGCCCTTGTGGGGCCACACCTTGCTGTGGATTCTGTCTCACCCGCTGGCACGTCCACACCCCCAGCCTCCCTCTCCTCAGTCCACTGTGCTCTGCTGATGTCTCCCGCCGGCGTCCTGTGGCTGCTTAGTTTGGTCAGGCCCTGGGCACTTCGCCTCCATCCCGTTTGCTTGTCGGCCCTGTCAGCCCCATCCTCCATCTTCCCAGGGGACGATTTCATGCACTGATTTACTGGCAGCTGTGGTGCTGTGGCTACACCCAGTGTTGGACTTCACCCCACGCCACACCGATTGTTCTGTGCAGTGGCTCAGCCGCCTGGCTGACCAGAATGCCCTTTCCTTCTGGCTTAACTCCTTGTTCTCTAAGAACTGGTCCTGGTGGGGGATGCTCCATTTCCCTCTTGTGCCGGTCTTCCTTCTTGAGGAGTTATAATCAGCTACTTGCACCCATCTTTTTTTCTTATTTTATTTATATATTTTTATTGTTGTGCTGGGGTACACTGTAACACTTACAAAAGTGCTTACAATATATCATGGTGAATTCACCCCCTCCGTCACCATCCTTTATTCGTCCCCTCCATTCCTGGACTACTTTCAACAGGTCTCATGTTTCCATTTTCATACATGAGTACATAATATTCCACCATATTTATTTTCCTCCACTCTTTCCTTCTATCCTCCCCCCTCCCACTGGCACCAACTCCAGACAGGACCTGTTCCACCCTCCTGTTCTCCATTTTTGTAAAAAAAAAAAAATATGACATTTTTGTTTGATTAATATAGCTATACAGGGTGTTTCCTTGTGACGTTTCCATGTATAGATGTATTAAAACCCAAATTGGTTCATCCCCTCTCTTTTTCTGCTTCCTGCCTTAGTCCATTTCTTATGGTGGTTTCAACCCCTTAAAAATCCTATATTCATCTTGCACAGGAGTACATCAGCCACACTTACCTTCTCCGCTTCCTTCTTTCACCTCCCCTATTATGTGGTCTTCCTTTAGCGGCACCTGATTTTCATAACATCGCTCGTGTTGAGTTCACGTCCATCTTTCTTGCTGGGCTGACTTCCCGGAGGACCATGCCTTGTGTCTTTGTGTTCCCAGTGCCCAGTGCAGGGTCTCCAAATGGACAGGCACCTGTAACCTTGTCACAATTTCCTTGGCTTGTACAGATCCCTTTCTGTCCTTTAATTACTGGAAGTTTCAGGAGAAAAGCTTGCCTCGCTGGGCACAGTGCCTTAATCCTTGGCTCCAGCTTTTGCCTTCCCTTCCATACGGAATCTGCTCTAGTGACACCTTGGACGCCGAATCTGATGGCATTCCTGTGATCCTCAAACCCTTCACTGCTCAGAGTTGGGCATTACTTTAACCAATGGCTTCATCTTAGAATTCGTCCCCTGCGGGATTTCCTCGACTCTTCAGGCACAGGTTTTTCCTTCCAGTAAAGATTTTACGATTTCTCCCCCTGATTTGACGCTTTATATAGAAAGGTCATAATTCGCTGTGGATTCTATTCCAGCCCCAAATTTCTCACTTCTTGAATGTCAAAAGGTACTTTCCAAGTTACTGATCGGTTTTGTGTGTTCTGTTCCTAGTGGCCTTTGCTTTAAATCGTGTCGATGAAGAATGGAAAATTAGCCACCAAACGTCTGCTTAGATTAAACAGCCCCAAACAGAAAGCGCCATCGGCAACAGACGCCCCGACTGCTTCTTTAACCTGTGGTTTAACACACGGCAGCACTGGGCCTCCTGCAGTGATAGGTCGTCGTCTGCCAGTCCTGGTCCGCAGTTGGCACGATGGAGGACGCAATCAGAGAGGGGACGCTGATGAAGAGAGAACAAAGGGCCACAGTGCGGGTGTCATTTAACGTAAAATATTATTCCTAGTTGATTGACTAGACCAGGAATTATTAATCTGGTATTTTAAGAGATCCTGACATAACATAAATACTGTGTACTTATGTTTTTCATAACTTTTTATCAAAAGACAAATTATATAAATATATATATTTTCAGTGATACTGGGATTTGAACTCAGGGTCTCATACTGCTAGGCAAAAACTCTACCACCTTGACTCTTTTATCTTTAGTTTATTTCTCAGATAGAGTCTTTCGCTTTGCCTAGGGGCATCAGACTGAAATCCTCTTGCCTCCATCTCCTGAGTGGCAGGGATTACAGACGAACCACCACACGCAGTTTTCTTGTTAATATAGGGTCTCAACAACTTTTTTTTTTTTTTTTCGCCTGGGCTGGTCTGGAACCTTGATCCTCTCTCTGCAGCTATGATTACAGGTGTGAGCAACCATATGTGGCTGTTGTTTAAATTTTTTTTGGCAGCTCTGGAGTTTGAACTGAGGACCTTGCATTTGCTAGGTGGATTCTCTACCACGTGAGCCATGTCCTCAGTCCTTGTTTTTTTGAGACAGGATCTTACTATATAGTCTAGGCTGGTCTCAAACTCAGATCCTCCTACATTCCACCTTCTGAGTGCTGGGATTACAGGCAGGTACCATGCTAGCCTGGCCTACTGGTATTTTTAAAAAACAATACCTTCTGTTAATTTAGTTAAAAAAACAATACCTTCTGTTAATTTAGTTGGTTAAAAAAATCTTTCAATTGCTAATTTAATATCTGACATTAACACAGTACGATTGAGCTGGCTTTTCCTAAAGTACTCAATACAGTCTTTTAGCTATTGAGTTCACTTTTCTTCAGGGAACATAAAATTCCAGCGTGGGTAAAAATAAAACAAGCTGAAGAGGGGGATTTTCTAGGGCTGTGACTTTCTTTTTAGCACCTGCCATTCTGAGTGCACAGGACAATTACAGTGATTGTGAGGACTGTCTTAAAAAGAATTAAAAGAATATTCACAGACATGCAATTCTAAATTTATTAACCATCCCACGTAGCCCTTTCAGGGTGAAAGGGGGTGGGGAGTGGACATGATGAAATAAAATACTGATGTGGCTGGCAGGTGTTGGGGCTCCGGGAGTGTCCTTGCCCAATGAATCAGGCCTGGAGGCCAGGCACCTGCCACCGTCTGTGCCACCGTCTCAGGTGGTCGTCCCCGAGACGTCCTGTGATGTAAGGATCAGACCCTTCTCATAGCTACAAGAACACGCTGAGGTTTCTGCACGCAGTCCTTTTGTCTCAGGGTCATGGGCTTCGGTGGCCTGCATTGTGGAGCTAGCTCATGTAGTGTAAATGTCACCTGGCAGCGAGCACATGGCACAGAGCGCCTGCAAGGCGGGGACCCTCG